GGTATTTTCTTATCGGAACGTTTCAGCAGTTTATCCTCATTGTAAATTTGACCATTTGGGATTCTAAAAGACACTGCCATTAAAAGAGTAATTTTCTTTGACGAGAAGCAAAATAATAATAATGAAAGAAAAAAAAACAGTAAAGAAACGAGAAGGTATGAAAATGCAGTTTTTGTTCAATGGATGAGAAAGACTGCATTCACATAAGGCTGAATGCGCTGCATTTCACTGGTGCCTCAATTACACTGAAAGGTCAAGTACTGCTGCATCTTGTGTTCCGCGCTGCATGCTAAGTATTTCTTCTTGCAAATGACCCTCGTCTGCGTGCGCAGTACAATGGCCCCAAGAAGCAGATAAATACTGGACAATTAAATATATTTTTGCTACTAGTTGACAATAAGATTTACTAAAGGAGGTGATTGCAGTTAATGTGTAATTGTGCCATTTGTCATGTACATACTGAAGCTGGTCTAAGAAAGAGATGGAAGCCGTAGACGAAAACCAGTCTTTTTCTTTGTTACTTTGCTTTTACAACCCCCATTTAAAATGTGTTTAGATTAAACTTGAAAGATGAGGCATGAAGTAAATGTCTCTGTCCTTTTTAATCAAAGGCTTACTTCATTCTAGTTCTCTCGTTTTGAAGTAACTCAAGTAATTCAGTGCAGAAGAACCGACAAAAACAGATTTGCCTTTTTGCTCCATACCTGTAAACGATCCAGCCAAATTTGATGTAAGTTTTAAGTCTGTTAAACCTCTCTCTCGGTACTTCTTTTGTAGTAGTTGCTCTCTCATTCCACGCACATGCTGCGTGGTTGTGGTGTGTCAAGAATAGAGTTTGAGTCATGTTGAAATATAATAGGATTATATTTTGTCATTTGTATATGGACCGCTCTCGCCTGACTTTGTTGCGGACTGTACATTTTCCAGTTAACCATTTAATTTAAAACTACGTTTGTGCTTTTAAGTTATAGCCTATATTTGCAATTTTACTTGAACAAAGATGTGTTTTTAAAATAAATGAAGTTATTATTAAGTTTAGGCAATGTGGCGAAAGAAACTTCAGCACCCCGGACAGCTCCACAGCAAATTACATAATGCAATCTAAAGACACACTGTGACAAATCATTGCATAACCTTACTTTTCGAAGGTGTGGCCAAACCAAGTTTGTTTTGTGTGGACATGTTTAAAGTCAGTGAATAAAAGATGGTCGTTTTAGTTAAATCAACTGGCATGATTAGATGACTTTTCTTCGTATGTGTCGTATTTGACACGGATCTGACGTTTTATTTGCGCTGGGCTTTACATAGCCTACTGTACGTTTCTTTAAAACTCTCTGTAGGACAATGCTCTTAAAAATCCAGTTTTATTTATGTTGAAAATCTTAGATGCACGATTAATGCCAAATGTGTATGGTTATTCTTGTCGAGATGAGCACAACGTTTGTGCTATAAATGCAGATAGTGTAAATCAATCACTTCCCCGAACTACAGTTTAGAATAAACCAGGGAACGGACCTCGGAAACCCTGATTGCATTGAGATTGGGGTGTAATTGCAGAGAGGTGACTGGGACCTTTGCACCCAAAGCCTCGAGGACAGTCCGCAGTTGTGCAACGTGTGTTGAGTGAGAGTGATGAGAGCATACACGCTTCCAACAAGTCATTTTCAACAGCTACAAGCTCCACATAAAGACCACACAGCGAGCCTCAGACATGTTAATGTAATCTGGAGTCTTTCAGAGGAGCTCTAACAAAACGAATCCCCGAAAAACCTAATAGACTCTTTCGGCGCTGCTAGATTGCTGTGGAAAAGGATTGAATTTGCACAACGGATAAAGAGAAAATCTTACTTGCCTATAAAATGAACGTTTATTTCATGTATTTGGTTTATCAATTTATGCAGTCTTGCGAGGAAAGTACGTAGCGGTTTAGATAGCAGACATCCTCAAATACAGGTATTGTATTAAAAAAGCCCTATACTTTTAACATTTTATTTCGCTCCTTGTAAATCCAAATTAACTATACATTTGAGCTTATGTGTCATGAGAAACTGACAAACGAATATTCAAATTCTTTAACACGTGTTGGAACTCATGACTGGAAAGTAGGCTACACATTTTTTGGATCGCAAAAAACAATCATAATAGGCTACTCATAGTAGTCGCCCATTGAACTTATCTTTTTAGATACATTATAGACATTGCTTGAAGTTTTAGGTGGAGGTTACATATAATTGAGTATCAGTGCAAGTAAAAGAAGCATCTGTAGGCCTTCGAAAGTATAATTTCGGACATAATCGACAAAATGATCTGTTGATTTAACGACCCTTCACAGAAAAGAAGAGCGCCATTACAATCAGTGAGTCATTAAAACGCTCGCGCCCCACTGCCCGCTTACTGGCGCGAGAGCTTCACATAAATACCTTCATCAGTTGAAGGTTTACTACATGCAGAGGGTTTTATTTGCGAATAAAAGATATAAAACCCAGGCGTGAACAGCAACAAGGGCCTCACCGGCCTATTGTACAACTTTTGCTTTGCATTAATATAGTTACAGCAACTTTGAAACCATCTGTATTGTATAAAGCGGTATAGAAATAAAGGTGACGTGACTTTACTTCGCTGTTGGTTCGTAGTAGCCTATAAAATATCAGGGTAATCAGTACATCGTTTATTACAATATTTCCACAAATAACAGAGGGTTATAAACACTAAGAGACCAATCAATGTTCTTCAGCTCTGGTATGTCAAGCAAAAAGATTCCCTCAAAACGCTAAGGATATTATTTTTCTGGAAATTTTTTTGATCAATTTAACAAATATATTATGTACAATTATAAGTGTAAGAGATTTGTGTAATTGTGTCATAAAAGCGACAATATTAACAATTGTTTCGGGACTTTTTTTTGGGGGGGGGGGGGGGGGGGGGGGGGGTGGCATTTAGCCAAGGGGTTCTTAAAATCTTTGAAAACATGGTCGAAACTAGTGAAATTTAAGATTTAAATATAATTTAAAAGTTAAATAAATGTTTTGCACCACATAATCGATAATTATAGGCTATAATTAATATATGCATGTCATAAAGTTTTTAAATCACAGAAGTCCAAAATGTTCTTTGAAAGTGATCAAGTTTATAAGACATAAATAATTAGGATATTATTGAAGAGGAAAGAAAGAAAGAAAGATAGATAGATAGATAGATAGATAGATAGAAAGAAAGAAAGAAAGAAAGAAAGAAAGAAAGAAAGAAAGAAAGAAAGAAAGAAAGAAAGAAAGAAAGAAAGAATAAAAGAAAGAAAGAAAGAAAGAAAGAAAAATTCTGAATCTTTAATGGACAGCGGCCTTTGTATGTCAATACACAACCGAATTCTATACGTGGTCAATTTATGTAAATTAATTTTTATTTGGTCAAAACGTGTGAAAGAAATGTCAAGTAGAAATATCAAATTTAATTCAATTATTTGCTTGTGTGGACTAGGCTACATCTCTCACAGAGAAACACACGGCACACACTTTCAAACTCAGTCAGTCTTACCTCAGCCTCTGATGTGTACGGTCTTTATCAGTGGTAAACACGGGCCATTTGATTTTGATCTTCACAAACACGGTATTGATGGACGGCGCTCTGATAAGTGTGTTTGTTTCGTCTTGCAAAGTTGTTTAGGAGAATTTTGTAGTTTGCACAGCGATGTGATTGATAGGTTAGCTTTTAGGAGCGTTTGTTTGATGTGAGTTTCTCTCAAGGAGTGGAGACCTCACCTGCTCTGACTCATTCTTCATACGACAAAGAGTTACAAAAAGAAATCTCCACAGAAACTTCGTTTACTTATCAAAGGCATAGGCTACAACTCATTTAATAGTTCATTCACTAAATACAATTAACTTAGGATCGAGTTTGTTAAAAGGAACTTTTACCATTATTAATCCAATTGGTATAAAAAAAAAGCATTTTAAAATATTTAGGCTAATAATTGCTTAGCGTCGTCATTTTGCACGTAGCCTAAATGTATTCCGGGTTCTCAAAGGTATTAAAATGTTAAAAACACGGCACATAGTCAGCATTTAATTAACTTCCGACATATTTAGGCTACTAATGTCTGTGGTGTGACTACATGAGTGTTGCGACACACAGAAAACTACATAACTATTTGCAGAATGAACACTTTATAAGAGGCCTGTCCAGCTCCACAAGAAGGAATATCCATTACAAACAGTAGAAATTGACGATTGCGAACAATGTGCGACTGCAGCAAAAGCTTGTAGCCTTTAAATGTAGCCTAAGGCTAGTTGTGTGGAAGTCTGTTGACTTTTAAACTAGTTTTAATTTTATTCATCTTGAAGAAAAATGTTCAGTTAGTCAGGTCCCACTTTTAGCACCGCCGAGTGAAAGATTCTTACACCCAAATCTAGAATAAACGTATTGTTAGGCTATTGTTATTATTGTCATAATTTATTAATATGATTGTATGACTGCGTTTAAGTCAAATATCTATATAAGTTACAAGAAAATTAAACGTACAAATAACAATGGAACTGAAAAAACATGTGACCCTTAATATCGATAAAAATTTTTGTACAATATACATATCGCTAAAAACTATGTAATCAGTCCAAACCTTTTACAGAAATATACAAGCTACGTTTTACAGTGAAATCTATAAGAAATCATGAAAGGTATTTAGCAGTCTAACTGTGAGGGGTACGTCTTCATTTTTAAAATCCAACAGGATGACAGTATATTTGTGATTTTAGCTTTTCAATCAGTCTCCGTTTAAAATCTAGTGTATATATAAATAATTCCATCTTCTTAATGGTGTTTTGGCGCTCATCCTCACAATAAAAGATTTGATACCTTTTGGCATTTGGCAATCCTCGTGTCGCTTGCAGCCTTGTCACTTCTCCCTCCAGAAAGGAGACAAGGATTTCAGAGCGCAACCACTGTTCGCATGGTCTTTTTTTTTAGCAGAGTGTACAGATCATCTGCATCCACCTGTCATTTTGTTATTGTGTCATTGTCTGTTCCGGTGTCACCACGTCCTGCCATAAAGCAGAGCAGAGCAGGGCAAGGCCGCTCCATACTCGGAACCAGAAGAGTTCAGGTGTGACAGGCCGGATACCTGGGTTTGGAGAGATGGAGGGCTGGCAGCATGTTGACCCAGATCTGGGGACTGGCCGGCGCTGCCTACCTGCTGACTTTGATGCTGGCCCATTGAAGAACTGTTATTGGACATAATCATGACGTTTCCTCCCTGGTGATGGTGGTTCTGTACACCGGTGTTGGGTGTATGGCTGCTGCCTTGGCATGGCTTTCCGTCTTTCACCAACACTGGCACGGCCACCCGCCGTGGAGACTGTTGCTGCTGCTGACAGGAGCCATTGTCTTGTTGCATTTGCTGCTGGGACACTTTGTCCTTGGCCTGCCTTTTCATTTTATAACGGTGGTTTTGAAACCAAATTTTCACTTGAGTCGGAGTCAAGTGAATCATGCTGGCCAGATGTTCTCTTTCCGGCGCGGAGAGGTACTTCTGCTGCTTGAACCGTCGCTCGAGCTCGTACACCTGCGCCTGGGAGAAGAGTACCCGTCTCTTCCTGCGAGGTGTGCTGGTCAGCGGACCCATGCTTTTACCAACATCCGCCAAAGAACCCAGAGTGCCCATACTGCCCATATTCATACCAGACGAGGAACCCATGAAACGAGAGACTGCAACACAAAAACAAAAACCACGAACAGTCTGATTTAGCTTTGCAATTTAACAGCAAACAGTACAATAATTCCTACTAATAATGACCACAAAAAAATGAAAAAAAAATTAAAAAATACAAACGTTATAACAGCACAGTAGTAAGAGCAAATATTGCGATTGTGCACTATTACGCAATCGCATCTTGTTAGACATACAACATACACTAGAACTGCGGTTAAGGGTCTGTTAATTGATACAGTTTGTTTGGGTTTAGATAAAGCACCTGGCACGTTTAACGTGTGGTTGGCTTAACATATTTCCCCTTAATACTGCCAAAGCCCCATTTTCAAACTATAAAGTTAACTAAACAGCTACAACCAAATTCAAAATTGTACATTTCATAGCTGACATGTTCAATACACTCAGTATATTTTAAAATATTTTCATAAAAATCCACAAACAGTTCTTGCAAATACAACTCAGTCTCACGTACTTGTAGAGAAGCGTGGGTCCGGGTTCGTCCCGTACCAGCTGGTGGCCGTCGTGCTGCCTCTCATCCCGTCTTGATAGGCCGGCAGGTCGCTCATGTTGCCCAAATTCCCGTTACAGTAGCCCCCCATGGCTGAGTGTGACAGCTGGGAAACTCCAGCTGCAGTCATGTGGTAGGCAGCGGGTACTGTTCCATTGTGGCCCATGTGGTGCTGCTGCATCGCCGCTTGCGTGACTTGGGGTTGTCTGTACGATGCAAGTGGAGCCCCCAAGTTGTTCCCCTCCATACTCACTTTTTTGTAGCTCTCTTCAAGAGGACTTAAGATATCGGATACAGAAAAAGGAGTCGTATGCTTAGGGCTCATCGACATTGTTCTGTGTTGGAAAGGGAGAAATTAGAAGGCAAGGCAATCTCTCCTTCTTTTTTTTGGCCAGCTCCTCTGTTCCTGTTGTTTCACCGTCGCTGCAGCAGGATGGAAACGTATGAGTGTGCACTGGAGTCCGCCTTAATTGGTTTGAGTGGGAGCTCGAAGCTGACTTTCGTTTGTTTTAGCTTGGTGCCAGGTTTAAGGCTTCCATCAGAGGCGGGGCATCAGCAGCCAGGGCAACAATACAAAGCAGCGCTATCATCTGTGCACCCACGCACAATTTCTATTACGCGGTCTTCAGCTACCCATGCCATCCCCCAACCCCGAAAACATTTGCGCATGTAACAACAACACCTGTGCGTAAATTTAATTCGTCCATAGTTCATTTTCCGCGCGAGGCTGTTTATTTCGCGGTGGTGCTCGCAAGAACGACGAGGAACACAGCAAAGGATGAAATATTGACAGTTGGAGTGATGTTTATAAGGGCCCCTTGATGTGAGAGCATATGCGGACTTCAGACTTTGAGAACCACTCAGTTTCTGAAAAAAGAGAAAAAAAACTTGAGTTGAACTACTGACTTTTAATGGCCACAAGAGGCTTCTGGTGATTGCAGGCGTGTTTGTATTATGCTCCATCATACTCAAACATGCAAAGGGCCCTTGCGACGACTCAGGAACACTGACTGACAAATAAATAAATACATATGCGCGTGTTAAGAGGCCAAGTAAATGATTAAGCCCGTTTCCGTTTGATTTTATTGGACATAGGCAGCGTGTCGTCCAAATTCCCATCCATGCACTCGGCTCATACACGCGGTACTGAAGAAAATGAACTCGGGAGGAGGAGAGGCTCTCAGGGAAATTTAACGACGCTGAAATAACCTGAGTAAGTCCTGAAGTAACTCCGTGTAAGTTCAATAATGCATACCTTACCAGACGCCCTATAGTTCTCCCTCAGTACAGCTGGACAGAAAAACTATTTTACAGAAATTTGTATGATTGGACAGTAGCCTATACTTGACCAATTCGACAAGATTAATTTGACAAATTAAGCAGACTATTTTCATTTTTTATATATTCTTTATTGTTATTATTATTAGCTATTTCATCATATTTCTATTTTAACAAATATAGAAATTTAATTTGTTGCTATTTTCAAAACAACGCGTTGTCTTATGCTAATATTTTACTTTAATGTCTAACATTACAACTAATAATAGGATGCTATTAGCTTACATGTTTTCATATTATTTTCGTCCTCCTAATATCGCAATATATATGTGGATCTATAGTTCATTTACTTGACACAATGACACCCATTTATCGTATCAAATTGAAAACTGCCAATAGAGAAACAAACCTTTTGGGACACCAAGAGTTCATGTCTTTTGGTTAAACAAAACATGTAGATAAATCACAAGTGAGTGGGTAAGATTCTCATATTGTAGACTCAGATATTTGGTTTAAACTTTCGTTTTTGTCAAGACCTGCTTTCATCGAGAGTCTAAAAGCGCTGCAAGCTTCTAAACAAAATCGGCAGGTTTAAAAAAAAAAAAAACCTTAAACAGATTTAGATGAAAAAATTGATCTTATGGTTTCAGCAGTTAGGAATAACAGAGACTCTGTTTTTGATTTAATATAGAGTTGTGGATAAATAAACAACTGTGTTTTTACCTTTTTAAAGATACCATGCTATCCATTTTCTGGATGTAGGTAGAGCCCAAAACAGCTCAATAAGACCAAGAAATGCAAAAAAATCAGTCGGAGTCTGATTAAATAATTCCGAGTATAAAATCACTTTGTTAAACCAGGAAATACAAATTTGCACTATTTTGCTTTTATGCTTTCTACCTGAATTCAAATGTTATAATTTTCGAAAATGGCATTTTTCCGCTGTAGTTCTTTGTTTCTTTGCGATCTTGTGGGACACTTCAAGTGTTTCAAATCTGAAATAACGAGCTGCCCTGAAGAGTAACAGGAACACACATCGGTCATCCCATACATAGGCCTAGCCTACCTAATAGTATATCCCTAATAAATCTGTCAACTTGCTCTTACGCCAAAATAAGAAGACAACACGATGAGGGAATACAGCGTCCTCTGGTGGTCACAGCATGCATGTTTTCAAATGGCAAGACAAAAAGCACTATCAATAAAGCCAATCCAATGTGCAAAGTAAGTCTAATAGTTTTAATATAATGCCAACAACTTTTTACAGGATTATGAGAAACACTTTAGTTCGTTTCAACCTTACAAATGTTTACATAATATCCAGCGAGCGTTCACATCTTTGGGCAGTGCTCAAGCTTAGTGGAAACGATCGTGATAGTCAGCTTGTCATTTCAGTGAAATGAAATACGTGAACCCCCTTAAACAAGCAGACAACTGCGCGTCTCTGTAGTTTGAAGTTAGCACAGGTGGGCGTAGTTTGTGCACCAGAGATGATAATCGCGCGTGCAATTATAACAATTAGTGTAAAAACTATGCAGCGTCCAACGTTGCTTTCAAGGTGTTCGGCCTACTTGATCCAGTTTACAAAAGGCTCTCTTAATTATCTTAATCAGGCTCGCTGCTCTCTACTGGAGTACGGCTATCATGGTCAATTAACGGCAATTACTGGTACGATTTGTGTTGTTTTTAACATCTTTTTCTATTGACAAACCGGAGTTTTGTTCAGCGCTACCTGGGTGGCTTACATTTTCAATATGCATATACATGAAAACATGGTCAAATGCGTTTTATATTATATTATAATATTATATTATAATATAATATTATATTATATTATATTAGGCTATGTTTGGCCTATAGGGCTGTATTATAGGCTATTAGGCTATATTATATTATATATTTGACTTATTTCTCCTAATGTGTTTTATTGAACGTTTGTTTACGGTGGGACGTCACGGGAGTGTTGTTGACGCTTATCAGGTGCAGTAAATATTGACAGCAGAGCAGAGTACGCAAACTTTAGACTCCACGATGCTATTGTGACATCTAGTGGAGAGTAACAGCCACTCATGGGAGAGAGGTGTGTGAGAATATTGGTTTCCTTCTGAGCCAAATCAGGGGTGCTTTTCCCGAAAGCATCGTTAGCCAATGTTCAACTACTTCAACGAGTCGGTGTTTCCCGAAACCAGAGTTACAACGAACATTGGAAAACAGCATCGCACAGTTCTGTGGTTGCTGGAACTACAGCTCGACCTGTGGATCGAAGCATCATTTCTTGTTTGCTTGACATGTGGACTTTATAAATCATTACCTTCAGCAAAAAAAGAAAAACAAGCTGACAATCAGTGAAATCTACATCTTTTATTTCGAATAAATTTACGTCTTTTAGTTTGTCAAGAAATTTAAAGCACCGTTTTTGAAGAGTGCGCATGTGCGAACGTGCTCTATAGGCTACGTAAGAACGAGCCTATGATTAAATCTGGAAATAAAGCAAAATAACTGGGAAAAATGAGAACAGGTCCTCAGATGACATGTTCGTAATATATAGCAAAACATCTAGCAATTATTTGTTCTCAAACAGATTCATTCAAGTTACTCCACCACCTGCGTGACATCATTAACCAACGCGGTTGAACGACACATTTGCGACAGTACTGTTTTGGGAAACAGTTGTGACTTGATTTCTTTAACGATACATCGATGATCGTAGGCAGAGTCGCACCCCTGATCAGGCCCACCGGAAGCTGTGAACCTCAAGGTGGCAGAGTGGCACTGCGCGCAGCCAACACGGTGGACATCATGTGACATATGGATGATGTCACGCTTTCCCTCCCTCGTTTCACTTTATAGTTATTAAAAAGTGAAGTCTGATAGATTAACTGGAGGAATAAAAACGCATTTGGAATTACATATAAGATGGGGGAACAATGTGCATTTACTTTTAAATTGTAACATAGGCATATAGCATGTAGGCCTACAGGATGATGATGCATCAGGCAATTTGTTATTATAGTAAGTAAATAGAAACATTTGCAAAATTAGTAAAATGTATATTAAAAAAATGTCAAATTAATCAATTCAAAGAGCCCCCCCCCCCCCCCCCCCATAAACTTAGAATATATACGCTAATTTACTTTTAGAAATGAATTAATATTTATATATATTTTAAAGTGTCATTAATGTAAAATACTAAATCAACTATTCTATTTAAATTGAATTTTGACTATTTGAATAATTGAATAACCACAGTAAGCAGAACCCCAGTATAAGAGATTGATCTGAAAGGTAAAATTACTCTGTTTATTCATTTTTAATTGCCCATATTTTATTTGAAGATATGTCATAATAGCAACACTATATGAATCAATGATTTCTTAACTAAACTATAGGTTTTAATGCAAGTAAAGATGTCTGAAATCTTTAATGGGAATACTGAATAATAACCCCATTAATTACAATAATTATCAAATTTAAAACTAATAATGTAACACCATTGGGGCCTTCTGTGCTAAATTAGACCAAGGGTATTTTAAAGATTAAAATAAAAAATATAACTTTTACTCCACAAATCTAAAAACATTAAAGTGTCCACAAATGCCTCATTAACAAATATACACAAAAAAACGTTTGATATTCAACATAATACAATGTCATAGATCACTATTTTCCAGAGACACAAAATTAGATCAATTAACCTCTTTTGACTGACTAAAACTCACAAATATTTATATTCAGATGAAAGGGGAAATTTATATAGCCTATAACATCTGGTCTGCTCAATCAATCAGTTTTTGGTACAGACATTTCAATGTATCATTTATATATGATTTTAATTTCTTTTAGTGCATTAAGTTAGAGTAAAGGTAAACGTTTACTCAAATCACACGATTTATTTAAGTAGGCCCTACTTAAGAGAAAAACACAACTTCATAATTGTTGAGTTTTACTATGTTACTACCAAGTTGTTGTGGCCAAGTCTCGCCATAAACCAGGGAAGACCTCTAAAAGCCTGTCTTTGTCACTCCCCAAACCCAACGACTTTTAAAACTCCATTGTCTTGTTAAAGCCCATAAATTTGTCACCCGGGACTGATTAAACATCACGAGAATTGAGACACTGCGGATTTTGTCTAGGTCCCTTTGGAAGCCACACAATGGTCCTTTCAGAGGACGACACAAAAAAGTGTTTTAGGGAAGATGTAGCGAAGAGAGCGCTGCGGTCAGTCCCCTCCATATGTAGAACAAGGTGGCCTGAGAGAGGGGACAAAAGACCAGGTGACAAGGATGATACTAGATGGGTCGCTGAATTAATTGGGACAAGCTCGGGATTGAGAAAGCACGGCTCTTTCATTAATGTTACTCACAACAATGATCACCCTCTTTTAAAATATGGAGGAGGCAGTGAGTTGCTTGAAATTTCTAAAGTCTCAATGCAATTTGTCATTTTTAAGAACTTCGATTTTACAATTTAGTCACTACTCAAATCAAATCAACGCTTAAACCAAACAAAAATGCTTGTTCGCGGTAAATGCCTAGGCCTATAAATAAATGCGCAAATCCGAGAATCACACAAGAATCCAAAATCCATTGTGCATCTTACATTTCTTCCTCAGTGTTTAGGCTAATGTTGTGTCTTAAATAAGAGTTATTTCTTTAAGCTGGTTATTTGCTCTGTTGGGTGAAAGTGGACGTCTTAACATTACAAAAGCACTCACCTCTTGCTGTGCGCTAATTCTCGTACTCTTTTCAGTTCAATCTGAGATCTTTTATACAAACACTGTCTAACAATCGCGGGGATTAACAGAAAGGTGAACGAATTATACTAAACAAATGACAAACAATAAAGGGGGAATATATTTTATATATTTTAAAATCTTTATGATTCAAAGGAGTGATTTCATGCAGAAAGAACATTTAATACGATCTGTATAAACACAATTTGTATGGAAAATTCAAACAGAAGTAGGCTATACACTGCTAAAAATGTTTTTTTATTATTATTCTCAGATTTTTTTGTAATACATAGAAGAATAAAGAACGAAAACGTGTAACATTTTAGGATGCCATTTCATCCAAATCATGACTACACTGTTCACTGTATAAAACATATATTTTTTTCTCACTGATATATAAACTTTTGGTTTAAAACAAATACAAATTGATCAAAAATACACTATCTAACCAATTATACACATCATCAATTAATACACAAACAATTTGCAAAACGCAACTGGCCAAACCAAAACTAAATAGATCACATAATATGTGCAAACAGCATTTATTTATGAATTTTATATCAACGCTGAAAGTTTCTACTTTAATAGACCAAAGACTTTATGTAGGCTAATTAAAAACAACTTGAATGCACTTGAATCCATGCGCTGTCCTGTGGGGTAAGTCTCGAAATAGTTCGTGTGGTTAGTTTAAGTGAGTCTCACCAAACACAAAAGTGGTGACGGGAGGCCGCTGTGTTGGTAAAGTGCTGGTATGTGGGGAAAAGCGCAAAGGGCGTCTGCTGCTGTAAAGAGTGGAAACCTTGAACGCTGAAGGATGAGGATGGTACTGTTGGTGGAACGATGCATCTTCCTTTTTCTGCATCGATTGAGCAGTTCTGATACGGTTTGCCATCTCGGACCAAAATGGGCACCACGACCCTGCGCAAAACCGGAGGCTGATTGAGGTCCTGAGCGCACTCTATCCGCGCTCTCTTCATTTTGTATCTGTGGTTTTGGAACCAGATCTTGACCTGCGTGGGCGTGAGACGTAGCAGGTGCGCGAGCTGCTCTCGTTCCGGAGCGGACAGGTACCGCTGCTGACGAAAGCGTCTCTCCAGTTCATAAGTTTGAGCCTTGGAGAATAACACGCGTCGCTTCTTCCTCTTTTCATGCTCTGTATCCACTGAAAGCACATCTTGGCCCGTGGAGTCTGGTGAAGCCTCAAGGTTGCTCTCGTCTGATGCTAAAGAAGAAGAAAAAACGATTAGCCTTTGGGGGGGGGAAAACATGTGTATGCACTTTACATGTTACCAAATTGTAACACATAAATAACCCTAATTAATAGGACATGAAAAAAAGGATGGACGTTTGAAACATTTTCTTAAAATTGATTTTTTTTTTTTTTTTTTTAGGAACTTACATATATGTCCTCTGTCGTTTTCAGTCCAAGACGAGTAAGGTGAGACGGAAAACGTGTCCACTGGAGAATGGTGCGCGATGCTTTCGGAGTCGTTTTCTGGCAAATCCAAAATACTTCTCACAGTGAAACTGAACTTGTTCGAAATAGCCATCTGTAGCGCTGGAGTGCTGTTAGTTCCAGGACTGGTTCTCGGTGTTGAAGAGCTATCCTCAGTCGCAGTGCTGAAGTGATGTGTGCGTTTTCAAGACGCGCATCCAAGTGACAATGTGTACACTGATGTCGCGGTGTTTATATAAACAGCACTTGCTGGCTGCTTTCAGGCCTCTCCTACTTATGGGTTCTAAGTACCTCAATGACTCGTGTACTTAAATCCCTGTAATGGTAGGTGTGAACTCGGCAAAGAATAGCCCGTTACTTTCACAATGATGGAGGGTAACACTCTTCATCATTACTGATTCGTCCGATTTCGTGAAAAGTGGGAAACAGATAATGGTAATTGTTGAGGCTGAATCACGTCTTGGGTGGCAAGTGACAACAAGAGCCCTCCCTTCTTTCCCCCGCTCAAATAACATATCGGATATTTGCATACAAAGTGATCCATTAGCGTCCAGAGTTGGTTTTCCTAATTCGTTTATTGGGGTAATGTCGTTTATTGCAGGTGTTATTGCACAAACACGGGTTAAATGTAAGGTGATATCTCATGGTAATTCATGAAATCTATACATTCGTGGGCTCATGGAAAAGTAGCCTGCCCTTTGTGTACTGTAAAAAGCACAAAATCGTCTCCATCAAATAGATTTTTGAGATATGAAATTGAAACTTAGCTGTTTATGTTTTAAAGTTGCATCTACTCATACATCTACTCAACGTTACACTGCAGTTTTCTTATTTATGAATTTATATCAGTTTGTATTTAATTTAACAGGTTATTTCTTCCTAGAAATCCGAGATAACCACAGGAATAAATAACTTTCAATTTGGGAAAAGATCCATATATCAAGGAAACAGTAATATGTCGTTATGGACTATTGCTTACTCCTTCACCTCACCAGTAAGTGCGCGAGGCATCACTGGGTTCGGATGATTCCTGAGAGAGCGCGCTCTGGATGACTGCAGAGACCCTCCCAAACAGAGTGGGTATCCGTTCTCGTCTAGTCGTCCTGGGTGGTCGGCCGAAAAAAGGAACACAAATACATGCCAACCAGCGACCAGGAACAAAAGAGGGAAATGTAGCCCCGCGTCCGAGACCCGTTGGAAGCATTTGTTCCAGTCAAGATTTTGCATTTGTTCAGTCCTGAAATAATGCTTGATTGACGCCCCCGCACAATGTCCTTTAACTTTCTCGAATAAATCCGAGCTTGTTTCATGTTGTCATGGTTTTGAATAGGGATGAACGGGATCTGGGCATCTACTGCTACACGTCTAGCTGCTTACGTCTAAACTGAATTATTAGTTATGCGTTTCCAAACGGAATTAAAAGACTTTTCGTTTCCATCAAATTTCAAGTTGTGTCCTGATTAATCAAAGTCTTTTAAAAAATAGATTTTATTTTATTTAATTAAAAAATATATATATTTATAATTTTCCTAAATTTTACGATTGTCAAAAAATAAGGACGAGATTAATATTTAAAATAAAAAAAGGTTTTATACAGGCTAATGATTATTTTCGTTGTATCAGGTTTCATTCTAAATTGTGTTTTCCGGTTAGTAACTGCGACATGCTGCATTCTATGGATGTTGTTAAACTGTATAAAGTAAATTAAAATATTTGCCAAGCTCTTTGAATTTAGGCGCACGCTCTCAGAGAATCAATAAAGACCCGTGTAGGCACACAGTTTAGTTTCTAATGACCTCTCGTATCTCCTTAATCTATTAGACACCCACGGATAGAAGTATGCTTCAGGAAAAGTGTGCACTCTCAAGCACCCAAGAGCTCTTCAGTGTCAAATATTTACCCTTGTTGTTTGACTTCTCAAACCCAAGGAGTCAGACAACGGGAAACAGAGAATAATCTACAGAAACAAACATTTCCGCGCGAATACCAACCAATACAACATTTTTATATTTACAATAGCCTAATAAAAAAAAAAGATAGTTTCACGGAATTTACATAAATGTGGCTAAACACACATTGGACTCTCTCACCAGATCTTATTTAAAATCATTATACTGTATGTTAAAACACTTTACACACTGTTTGTTCTGTGAATTTCAGCGTATCCTAATATTCTCAATTGTTTGTTTCTCAGGTTGCTTTGATTAATACAGATAATTGTATTGAAAAATTGTAAAACAACAAAATAGTGTAAATCATTAAAAATTTTATTTTATTTTTGGGTGAACTCTTTAAGAAATATTCAAAGATGTGTGAACATATAATTACACCAGAAGACAAAATGTCACCTGTGATATTGAGTGTAACGGACTTGATACAGATCGCACATTCACACACCTAGAAAAAATGACATTTGGAGCAGTACAAAAATAAAAATAGCAATATTTTTTTATTCATTTAAAGAAAAGAAAAAAAGTCCATGTATTTTTAAATGTGGATCAAGTGTCACCACTGTTACATCCATTCACGTGTGCGCGTGCACACACACAGAAAATCCGATAATCCTACACGTTCAAAAATGATCTCCAATATTATAGATGCATCTAAAATCAAGTACCAAAAGTTTCAACACAGAGCTTTTAAGACTCAAAAGCTCAAGAATATAACCAGAAGGCCTGCCTATGAACTCGATCTGAAACTCATAACCCCACCTCACATTTTCGGGCCAGCACTGCTAAGGAAAAAAGTAAACCAAACAACATAAAACCCACACAAGAAAGATTACATTTAAAGATATAAGACATAAATACATTGAGAACTTTCAAGTCACATAAAAATTTACATTTTAAAAATGTATTCTATTAACCTTCTCGTGCTTAGTCACCACAAAATCAAAATTGACAATTATTATTTTTTATATAGAATATTGCAATATTTGTTAGAAATAATTTATCCGGGCACATCGTTTTTAAAAATGCATGTGTCCCGTAATCTTTAATCAAAATAAGTCTCTGATTTCTCTGATGAAGGTCTGGTAGCCTATTTGTCAGGAGTTATTAACAGCAATAAAGCAAACAAAACAGGAGTAGCAAATTTCATCCATCTTCTTTATTAAAAACATTTCAACAGTTCAGACTTCATTTTCAAAATAGGAGTCAACAATATTCACTTGTGGACACAACATTTTCCCCCTTTTTAAAGAACAGAATATTACATCAGTTTAAGTGACATAGTCCTTTAACTAACTAGGCTTCCGGACATAACGTTTAGGTCTAGTGTCAGCGTTTGTGTAGTGAGCAGTGTTCTCAGCTGGAGTTGTTGGCGTACATGGAAATGCAGTGAGATGTAAAGCATTCCATGTCTTTCCATCACTAAGAACTCATGTACCCACCCCCAGTCTTTCAGTAACCGTGAGAGGATCAGTAAACTTTCTGTGTCCCTTACAAGGAGTTCCATACACTCACTTTATCCCCCTCCTGGAAACAAGGAGTATGAGCACCCCACTTAGCATCAGTGTACTTTCCTTTTTGTGTAGCATCTGTGTAACCATTTGGCGAGCAGTCATGTCAGTTGGTGGTTGCACAGGAGCAGATGAAAAATAGACAGCCTTGTGCACATTTGCCTGCCATTGAGGAGCTGAAAGGGTGAAGTACCAGTTCCAGCATGTGGAGTGGCACGTACACCTACAAGAAGTCAGTTACCTCAGGTTTCCATGGCTGATGTTGCTGGATGGCCATTTGGACAGTGTGTTTGAGCACACGGTTAAACCTCTCTACACTACCATTAGCAGCCATATCACCCTGTAGCCCAAGACTGGTTGCCCACTGAAGCTAAGCAGGACTGAGCCTGGTTAGTACCTGGATGGGAGACCTTCTGGGAAAACCAGGTTGCTGATGGAAGAGGTGTTAGTGAGGCCAGCAGGGGGCGCTCACCCTGTGGTCTGTGTGGGTCCTAATGCCCCAGTAAAGTGATGGGGACACTATACTGTCAAAAGAGCACCGTCCTTCGGATGAGACGTTAAACCGAGGCCCTGACTCTCTGTGGTCACAAAAAATCCCAAGTCTTTCGAAAGAGTAGGGGTGTAACCCCGGCCAAATTTGCCCAGTGGCCTCTGTCTATCATGGCCTCCTAATCATCCCCATATATATATATACCAATTGGCTTCATCACTATGTCTCCTCTCCACCAGTAAGCTGGTGTGTGGTGGGCGTTCTGGCGCACTATGGCTGCCGTCGCATCATCCAGGTGGATGCTGCACATTGGTGGTGGTTGAGGAGATTCCCCCTTCTATGTAAAGCGCTTTGAGTGCCGAGAAAAGCCCTATATAAATGTAATGAATTATTATTATTATTAGCTGCCGAATATTCCTTCCTTCCAGAAAAGCAGAGAAAGCAGCAGATGTAAACTGAACATATCAGTAAACATACTTAATGGATTTCCATGGCGGTGAAAGTCTGATGACAGAAACAAAACCACAAAATCCGTAGTGACCCGTGTGAATAAAAGAGACCACTGGCCATTTGCTGTAACAGTCAATTAATGTTATCGCAAACCTTCAGTGGGATGCAGCAGTGTCTATATCCACAGCCACTATCTGCCATGGTCCATCTGGCAGTGACACCAGCTGGAGAGGAGCAGAACGTGTCTTGACAGTTTTGTCGTGGAGCTGACACACTTGGTAGGGGCAGACAGCATCATGAACCTAAGCATCCATCCCTGGCCACCAGTAGACATCACAATGGCGTTTTTGGTTCTTACCTCTCCCTGATGCCCTTCATGCACTATGGAGACCAGCACAGATCGAAGAGAAGCAGGTGCAATCAGCCGTGAGTCCCGAAAGACAAAGTTGTCTTTAACAGACAGTTCCAGTCGCAGTTTATAGTAAGGCAACAACTCAACGTCCAGTCCCTTGTAAGAAGGACCATTAGAAATGTATATACAAAGTTTGGTTATAACAGGACAAGAAGCACATGCAGTATCAACATCAGCAACAGACAGAGAATTACAGGCAGCAGATAGAAAAGCAACAAACTCCTCATTACGAGCTGGAGCAACAGAATTATCTGCAGGAGAAGCAGGTAAGGTCAAAAGAGACCAGAGATAACCAGCAGGAGCATTTTAAGAACCTGGGCATAAACCACATCGTTATTAAAATGACACGAAACGGCCACCTTGCTACACAAAGTCCAGCACGCCGACACCCTTAGTGGTGAGCAGGGTCGTCAGTGCCTGTTGATCTGTACATAGAGTGAAATGCCAGCCCCACCGATATGTACGCCACCTCTAAACCATGCCAGCACGTCCTTTTCTACAGTGGCATATTTACACTCAGCGGTAGACTGCGAACGTGATGCAAAAGCCACAGTTCGTTCAATGCCATCCGGGCTGACCTGAGAAAGTGTGGGTCCCAGACCATAGTCAGAAGCGTCTGTGGAGACAATCGTGTGTAATGTGGGGTTGAATACTGCCAAAGCAGGGTTGTTTCCTTGCAGTCATTTAACTTTGGTCAAACTATGTTCAGCCTCTTTTGACCAGCTGAATCCATTTGGATCTTGTAGGCATGCATATGCACTACAACAGTGGCAAAACCAGGAATAAACTTACTGTACCACGGCATAA